TTTTGCCATGGATATTTTGTGGGTCAGAAGATAAAAAGTTTGGGAACCACTGAGCTARAGAATTAAGTGAATGCTGAAACACATTTGCTGAAAATTAAAAAATGCATAAACTAGCCTTAAATAGCTAAAATAAGCYGAAACAGCTTAAATTAGCACAGAGAAACAGAAAGATAATGTTTACTGAATTAAGCGGTTAGAAGCTAAAATTATCACAAAAAGGTTTATTTAAATTAGCTCAAATTAGATAAAAAGTAACAAAAAAAAAGATGTGAAAAAATGCAACAAAAATTAAGTACCGGTATATGTCTAAAGTCTTTATTCTGTGATGTATTATCTCCAAATTAGTATCATTTGTCCACATCTATCATTGCTTTAGAATTTAAATCCTGTTTTGAAATGTTATTATATTTTATCTGCTTTTTTATGCTTTATTGTATTCATCGCTGCTGCTCTATCACTGTGGCTTTGCTGTGTTTGCTCATGATTACACAGATTAGAAAAGTAAACATTGAGGAGCCTCTGCTGGTGCAGCATTCTCATAACATATGGCAGAAAGCATAAACACCCACTGCATAATGCATGGACTTCTTCAACATGAAGTCAAAAGGCTGTTCTTTGGTTGTTTTAGAGACGTGTGGAACTTAAAGTGACTGCAGGTGGAACCAGTTTTGGTGCAGTGCCACTGTCATGTGTCTGGGGCGGAGATTTTCACTGTCCAATACGTTTCTTTGGCGTGTCCTAATAAAACCCATCGATTTTAGGCTTGAAATCGATGTGAAAATCAACTGCACGATGATTATTCTGAATTAATTATCTAATTATAGTCAGTATTAGTGCACATGTTGCCACCTTGACATTTGCAGTTTTCCAAGACAGGAAATAATCTGAAAATCTGCGCAGTTTCCAGTATGCAAATATAATTATCCAGTGGTTGAAAACTCCTAAAAGTGGGAGACTCACTTTTCGCTTTGCTGAGGTGCAGGGAATGGTCAGAACCGGGCACACGGAAAGCCTCTCCGGGATAAACRTGTCCTCCTGCGTAGTTATGGCACTGGGAGTTTTTCTGCTGTTCCTCCGCAGATGTTACGGCGCTGAGGAGCAGCAGAGCGACGCCAAAAACACAGAGCAGCTCCATCTTTATGTTAGCGTTGATACACGTAGCTTCTGGCTGCAGCCGACTTCTTCTTCTTTTATTTTTTTCCTGACTTCTTCTTCTTCTTCTTCTTCTTAGTGTGTAGCTGGCGTCTTTATCGGTCCTTTACTGCCACCTTCTGGCCTGAAGCAGCTACTGCGCCTCCATCTGCACCCATTCGCTGCAGCTCAGTTCTTCAATAAATACTGTATTTGTCCAAGCATTATGAGAAAGCTACATTAAATATTTAAAACTTTAGATTATGTAAGAAAATTTTATACTTGTTTTGGTATTTATGTGACGGGGAAAAAAAACTTTCATTACATAAACATCAAGTAAAAATGGACAATCTACATGGCTTATTATGTAAAATTCTGATAAAAAACTGAAAGCAACAACTTGCAAAACTCACAAACTATATATTTCATTTACAATAGCACACAGCAAACATTAAGAGTTTATAATTTGTATTATTTTTAGGGTGAAAAAACTGGAATTTTGAATTTTAGGACAGAAATGTGATGRAAAACTTAAATATTCTTTGCAGGCAGTAGAAAATGTTTCTCACAGTCTGACAAGGCTGATATTGTGGTTGATCTGTATTTCAAAACTCATACACAATAACAAAAGAATGTGTTATGAAAATGTCAACCACTGTGAACGCCCAGCTCATACACAGCATAAATACTTTCTTTCTCTCCTGCAGACTGGGTTGTTGACACTCTACCTTGCAGCTGCAAAACAAAACAACTAAAGGCTATTATTGAAGACCTTTAACGATCTCACGTATTTTTTGATTTAATTATTTTTTCCACTACAAACATCGCTTTGTTCTTTCATTATTTCAAAGATTAAGTAAAATAATAAACTGATGCATTAAAACAGGTAAATAATCTCATAAGATTCCAAGTGTTAAACATTGCCTTGTCTTGACCAATTAAATAGCTGGACATGTAGACTGCATATAACAAGGAAAAGTACACAAAAACAATAAGTTTTGTTTTTTGTTGGTTTTTATTATTAAGGGCCCACACAGAAATCCACTGTTTCCACTGAGAGGTTGCATGACCTGCTGCTATCCAACAGAACAGCTGAAAATGCCATTAGATATATTATCTTTAAAACTTTAGCTTTTATTTTAATAACATATCTCACAAAAACGAATCGTTCATCTCTTAATATCCTCTCTAAAGTTGTGGTTTAAAAAAAAGTTGAAACTTTTACTTATGTTATACCTTTTTATGAAACTTGGAGTGTTGATTTTATCATCCTAAAACACATACAGCAGGAATTTATCAGCAGCTTCACAAAAAAAAAAAAAAAAAAAAAAAACTTAAGGTACGAGAGTATGGGTAAAATAACAGAACACCAGAACCTAGATCTGTCAGGCACATTTAATTGGAGAGAGTAGATTTAGATGAATAATACATTGGCTGAAACAAATAAGCTTTTTCCCTTCTGCGTTTTTGGCAAAACCTCGTAACAAGAACATGAAAAGACGACACAAAGCGATCAGGTCAAGGTGAATTATTTATCACTTACAGAGTACAACATGTTTACAGGCTGGRTTGTTTTTGTGGCAAAGAGTTGCAGATGATATTTACTGAACCGCCCTTAAAAATCAGAGCTTAAGATCAAAAACCAAATACAGAATGTGCAACCCATACTCCCAAGGAGCCAGATTTTATTCCAATAAATGCTTAATGCTAGCAAAACAAAACTGAAAAACAGAAGCTTGCRTTTTTATTTAGAAGTTTACCAGGTGAAATAATGAGTTCAATCGATTTAAAAGGTTTAATTGATTTAAAATTCAAACTTTAAAACGGTAATTTGGCTTATTGTGACGTTTACTTAGGAAAAAATGAAAACTTTAGTAAAATAACTTGATTGTGGCAACACTTGACAAAAAAATGCACTTGAGTTTAACTGTTTTTCTTTTTTTTAAATATCAGTGCAGACTGTGAAAGCTGATAAACTATGAGGTGGAAGGTTGACATTCAGGGTGTAGCTTCTTTAACTGTAACAGTCTGCAGAAAAGTTTAAATAAAATGAGCTAAAGGGGGAAAAAAATAAAATAAATATACAAAAGTTTTGATGTTTTTTTCACACTCGTTCATTTCTCTGAACATCTTTGTTAACGCGGCTCTTGTCGTTTCAAGGTGGACGTAAATTATCGGTTGGCGTTTTGACTTTGCGGTGCATCATGTGTGCGGCTTTAAGGACGAGGCGATGCCCGAACTTTAGCTCACAGACTTCAGCTTGGCCCACGGGTTGGTGCCGCGTACCTCGGTGGGTGAGTTGTTGTGGTAGATGTGATTGCACAGTTCCTCCAGAGGGGGTTCGGGGTCTGTGGTGGCAAACTGAGCGGCGTCTTCGATCTCTTTCCTCACCTCCACGTCGATCTCCTGCAGGTGCAGMGCGGAGAGGACAGAAGGTTAAAGACATCAGCAGCATAAAACAAATTCAGCTTAGTGCAGAGGTCTTCAACGATGGGGTCACGACATCTAACACACATGAATCAAACATGTTATAGCAAACTGTTAAATGTATGATCTATGGAGGTAAATTTGTGTTTTTATTATTCAATCAAACAAAAAGCATCTTCAATCAAAAAAAATAATTTCAATCAAAATTATTTTTTTTGATTGAAGATGCTTTTTGTTTGATTGAATCATAAAAACACAAATTTACCTCCATAATAAACTGTCTAGAAAAGATGATTCAATATCAGTACCAATTGTAAAATGGGAGACCGATTTATCAGTCAACTTTGACCAAAACACCTGGTTCCAAATATGCTTAAAAACATTTAAAATGACTAGAAATCCTAATTTACAACTAATACAATATAAAATCCTCCATAGAGTACATTTTACTGGTCAGCGAATGTTCAAGATGGGATTTGCGTCATCTAACACCTGCACACAGTGCACAGGCAACACACCTGACAATTATATCCATGCATTCTGGTTCTGTCCACCTGTTCAGAGGTTCTGGGGCCAGATTTGTGAAAACTTGTCTAAATGTCTGAAATGTAATATCACACTATCTCCGTCTGTTTGCTTATTGGCTATCTTAGATGATGTCACTTTAGAGAAAAACACGTATTACATTATCTTCAATGATCTGTGTATTGCAAAGAAAACGGAATTGGAAAAATAAAAATGCAGTTAGTATCAATCAGTATAGGAATCTTTTATTAGATCACATTAGTCTTGAGACAGCATCTGCGGATACATCAGATAAATCTATCTGGGCTCCTTTAATCGGCTTCACCACATAGTGGGGGTGGGGGTCCTTGGATCGGGCCTTCTGGGGCATTGGGGCTGATATTGGGGTATCGGGGGTTGAGATGTCGGGGGGGCCTCGGGAGTGGGGCTGCTGGGGGTTCCTGGGCGGGAGGCTACTCTCACCCCGGAGAGGGCCCTGGGGATTTTGGGGGGCCTTCTGGTGGCTGCATGCAGGCCCTCAGGTCTGTGGCGGCGGTCATAGGTCGCTGATCCGGTGGTCTAGCTGTGCTGGGGTGGGTTTGGGGTGGGCATGGGGTCTTAGGGTTCTGGGGTCGTGCTGCCCCTGGGCTGCGGTCCTGGGGGGGCTTGGGCCCTGGCGGGTGGTTGCCGGGCTCTGGGCCAGTTTTTTCCCTGGTGCCCGGCCCTCGGCTGGGAGCCCTCGGTGCGCTGGTGGGCCAGGGGGTAGTGGTGACTGGGTACAGGGCTGATGGCCAATTGGGGGTAGGTCAACCCAGCCTGGGTGTCTAGTGAGGTATATGCTCTGAGAGTGTCTGAATGTTGGGGTGGGTGTAGTATTTTTTCGGGGGTGGGGGATGGGTRGATGGCCTTTGGTGGTGGCCGGGGGCTGTGCTGGGGCAGGTAGTTGGTCCCTTTGTTGTGGCGGGGCTCACTCTTGTTCCTTTCTTGCGCTGTCGGCGGCTGGGTGAGCACTCTTGGCCGAACCTTCCTTGTTGGGGTTCGGTGGCCTCTTTTGGTTGCGGGCTGACTGTGGGACTGGGGGTCCAGTCTTGGGGGTCTGGATGGTTCTGGGGTGGATGGATTGTTGGTCCCGTTCTCTGGTGGTCCCCTGGGCTCTGTTTTTGTCCGTGACCTGGGGCTCCCCTGGCCTGGTGGTTGGTCAAGAGGAGGTGGCATTTGGACCTCACTCTCTGGGTGGGTTTCGGGGAGCGGGGGGTCCTTCCAGGGTCAGTAGGGGAGCTGACTCCCTGTGGGAGCAGTTTGCTCCCTCAGTTGTTTTTCTCCCCATTCCTCACCACATACCCCCACCCCCCTCATTTTCAATTCCACTCATGTAGAGTTTTTGGGACGCAGGTGCATTGCAAGAGTGACAGTTTTACATCTCTGTTTTTACATAAGCACCTGAGCCCAAATTTTATTATGCACTCCAGATATTCAATTACATCTCCATGACATTCACATATAGGAACTTG